TTGCGATCGTCAGCAGCCTTTATTTCATTGGATTCTTCTTGAGACTCCGGTAAATTACTAATTATGATGTTGTGAGACCGAAACTCCCTTTCTTCAACTTCTTCGAGAATTTTTCCATCCGAAAGGACGCATGGCCCATGGGATTTTTCATCTTTCAACAGTTCGATTTCTTGTCTCAATTTCTTGTTCTCTTCGACGAGGTCACCAACCACTTTTTTAACGTCCGCTAGCATCATGGTCAACGAATTGATTGTAGCGACTAGGTTTTTTACTGAATTTACATCTTCGATATCTGAAGTTTGGGCGGCACTACCAGAATCACAACATTTTTTCTTTTCCGCACAACTTAAGTGTGACCAAACCCCACAATCACCACAATAAATTTTCTTTCTTACAGCTGGATTATTGCATACCCAGCAAAGCACTTTATCAGCACCACCGTTCGCATCCGTCATCATAACTCTTCTCTTATTCTTAACTTTTTCTTATAATTATTGTCCGGCGGCTAAACACAAACGGCTAGCCGGAAGTAGGTAAAGCCTTTGATGTACCGACAAGCGTCCGAACTCTATGATGGTCAGCGACTAACTCCTCTAACGACTAATAAGTGAATATTTTTGGTATATATTTAGATGATTTTACATATTTTGTTTAACTAAGAATTAACTCTTTATTTGTGTTTTATACTAGCAAAACGTCTTAAATTAAGAATATTGTTGAAATCGTAATAACCCAATGGATTTTTTTCGGGAAAACGTTTTGGAAACACTGTGTTCTATTTTGTATGAATTTTTTTTAAATGTTTTTAGTGACAATTTTTGTGGTTGTTTTCGATACACTGTATGATATTAACAGTGAGAAAAAAATGAAAAATTAAAATAATCGAAAATTCGAAAAATCGAGAAATCTAATAATCGAAAAATCGAAAGAAGTCAAAAATGGAAAAGTCGAAGAACAGAAATATTGAAAAATCCCAAAACTGAAATATCGAAAAACTGAAAAATGAAAGAAAAACTGACGAATCGAAAAACTGAAAAATCCCAAAACTGAAATATCCAAAAACGGAGAATCTAGAGAATCGAAAATTGAGAAATCGAAAAATAAAAAAAGTGAAGTCGAAATATCGAAACCTTAAAAAAATCGAAAAATTGAAAAATCAAAAACCTGCAAAATCGTAAGATCGAAAAATTGAATCATAAGTAAACAGAAAAATCCCAAAACTGAAATGTCCAAAATCTGAGAAATTAAAAAATTGAAAAATTGAGAAATCGAAAAATCAAAAAAGTGTAGTTGTAAAATCGAAACCTGGAAAAATAGAAAAATTGAAAACCAAAAAACCTGAAAAATCAATAAATTGAAAAATCGAGAAATAAAGAGTTTATAAAACTCAAAAATTGAAAAATCGAAATATTTAAAAATCGTAAAATTGAAGAGAAAAACTGAAAACCGAGAAATTGAAAAATTGAGAAACTGTAAAATCCAAAAATTGAAAAATAAATAGGAATAAACTGAAAAGTCCCCAAACTAAAATTTCGAAAAACTGAGAATTCGAAAGTTGAAACAGCAGAAATTATGGTCGGAACCGGTTAGAATGTGTATTAGATCACAGATCATAGCTTATAAATCAAATCGTTTCCGAACACTTAGAGTCGACATTGAACTGAGTGCGCTCTGGTCTGTAGATCAAACAAGTTCTCAGACGACGAACTGTAATCGTGTAAAATATTATGACATTTTTTCTGCTACACATATGTCGCATTCCTACTTATTTTCATCATTCGTTATTCGGATTTTTAAATATATAATAATTAATAAGTACATTATAAAGTTAACACTGTCATAATACAAGAATATGGTTATTACGAATTTTCATATGATATGAAGCACAACACTTTGAAAATACACAGACTAGGAAGCGTCAAAATATTCTGACTTTTAAAATGATTTCGGCAGGAGTCTCGTTTCCTTATATTAACCAGAATTCTTATTGCCCATTTTTGCAGCTTAAATACTCTTGAGTGTTTCGGCTTCTGAAGATGTAAACCAGTATTCTACTCCATACATTATGATACTTTGAAAACAACCAAAGTACAGGGATTTTAAGATTTCTTTACTCCAGAAACATGCTGAAACGTTGATCAGCATGTTTCTGAAATCAGCGTGATTAAAGTAAAAGTGGTAAAACTCAACAATCTATTTCTTAGTAACTCAAATTTACACTACTAATTACACAACGATTAGGTATAAAATATGATTCCGGCGCAACTTGATCGGATTCTCTCGTTGACTCCATGAAATCGTTCTCGAAGGTGGCCTCTATTTAAACCCTTACTTCCCTTCTAGATATTCCGTGATCTACCTCATCGCGACTTTCGTTTCCAGGTTTTTCTTTAGCGAACGCCGTCCAGCTGCCGTCACCCACCATCTCCATTAGGGGTTTATTGCGTAACAATACGTAGCAGAGGTTTGAAGAGATTTTTCTTAAGATACGAGAAGGGAAGACGTGTGAAAAAACCGGTAGGAAAAAACTCTTTCAGTCGCACGCCATCAACTTTGGCAAAATTTTTAAAAACCTCCGTACAACCTTTGCGAAGGTTGAGTCGTGAAAAAAGTATAAATATTTATTCTTTTGCGATAGTCACTTTATTGATGCGTATCTACGCTTGGGACGAATACAGATACACCAAAATCATTTTAATGGAACCAAGGATTTTATTACTGGTTCAGGAGTTCAGACTATCCAAAGAAACTCTGGTAAATTTGCTATATTTAATTATCAATGATGTGACAAATTGATATGTTTAATTTAAATTTTGATTCTTCGATTTCTTATGCGATCTGCAAGAAGACAAGGGAGATAAGGTGTAACGTTGTCCTTAGAAAAGTCCCGTAAAATGTAAATAATTATATATTTTTATGGCAGAATTGATTGGTCTCCCAAATTTTTGTTAGTTTATAACTCTTTTTCACTAATAGCCTAGACACATACAGTTATGAACTTGTTCAGAGGTAGTGACGTTGGTCATTAATCGTTATAAACCACGGTCTACAAAAAAGATTGAGGTTATGTAATGCTTGACAAACGAAAATTATCAAGCACCAAATTTTTGAAATTGCGTTCACAAGGGATGTAAAAATTCTATCTGCAATCAGTGCCTAAATTAAGGAAAATTTCCAACTGCACAACTGCACAATCGCCTTTAATCCCCCTTCTGTCCTCTATAATACTACCCCCCCCCCCCCCCCCACATTAAAGTGCACTATGATTTTGTCGATTTAGTGAGAATACCTGTACCATTAATAATAAATAAATAATAGCAAAACGCAATTCAAAATAAATACATTGTAAAGATATAAACAAAATTCTAAAATAGTCATAAAACAGACACTATTAATACATATGTCACTATTTAAAGGTACATCACAAAAGTTTGTGTGTTGTCTTTCCAAAACAGAGGACTAAAATAATTAAGCCACAATCGAACAAAATGTTTTGAATTTTATTATTATAATTCTTATTTTGTCATTATTAAAAATAATGACTTACGTATTCTCATATTTTTGACAAAATGGGGTGACACGTTCTTAATTTGACCAATAAAAAATTTGTGATGACGCCAATAACGTAACTAATACTTGCCATAGCACAAAAGAAAATTAGTCACAGCGCATTACCAATGCAAGAAAAAACTAAAGTGATAACAGCTGTGAAAGCAGTACGACTCCGCAAGTAGGACTGATAAATTTTTATTGTGCACTTTTTCGAAATCACTGAGACAAGTGTTATTGTTAAGCAGGTACGTGACAGATCGAAAACAGCACATCTGGGGTTTCTTGAAGTTCCAACTTGACAAACAAAATCATAAAAATTCTTCGATTCTTTTCGGTGAAGGGATGAACCGGCGTCAATGGTAGTACTAGTAACTTACGCTCGGGAAGTAAAAATATTAATAATGTGAAAAAGTTACTGCACAAATTGCAATTTCCAGCTGCACAAATGCATTTTTGAACTGCACAAAATGTGTAGAATTGCACATTAATTTAGGCCCTGCCTGCAATAATCGCATTTCGGGAGGGATACATAGTTCACTGTGTACCATACTTCTTAAAAATAATACTTAATATTGAATAGGTATATTGAAAGTATGAAATTACAAATCTGATTAAAAACAAACTGTACAAATGTCGAGAAATACTGACAGCAAACATTAAAGCCTAGTTAGGTGATATTAGTGAAGTTATGTTACCTACTTTTAAAAATTGGTCGAATGTTATTTCGACAGAACTTGCCTCGCCCCTGACGTACAGTATAACGACATTTAGCAATTTAATTTTAAAATTTCAAATCTCTAAACCTTGCAAGCGCTTCACGGTTATAGTAAGTATAGTAAATGTTAACACATAGCATGCTTCTTTACTTTTATTTGAATAGTACACACATATCTTTATTTTATAATTTTTCGAAGAAGCTGAATTTGTTGGATTGTACTTCAAGCGCGAGCGTAGTTCTGTCTAAATAACCTTAGACCAATTTTTGACAAATTGCTTGTCGGTTCCACTCTTCTGGTGAATACTTAATTACGCCTGTGTCACTTTCGTAATTGAAGAACAAGTTCTTAACACATGACAAAAATTTCAGATACTGAATATTTGAAAGTCAAAATGACAGGAAGGAATATTAAATTTCTCTACAGCAATCCTACCAAACTTTTTCCAATTTTAAACAAAAATTTTGTGGGGATATAATAAAAAATAGATAATACTAAAGTTAGTAATGTAATATGTATTAGTAATGTCAACTAAGGGTCAGCTTATACAATATTTTAATTGAGATTAAGTTACTATTTAACAAGGCCTTTAGCAACGTCTGATTGGCGTAGTGTCGGTCATGTGGTACTTTAACACCATATTAAAAATTTAAATGAGTGAAATATGTATTTAATTGAGCTTTAAATGCGTGATTAATTTAATCTCAATCAAAATATTGTATACACTCTATCAGCAAAAAAAAAGAAAGGAAACAGTATTCCATCGCCGAACTTAAGATAAGCGATAGCGCTTTATAATTTAAAGACACGACAGGTCGATAAAATATCATTTTATAAATGATAATACAACAGAGCCGAGTTTTAAAAAAGTGTTAGTTTGGTATAAAGAAAATTGCATTCAGCAAGTACAGTAGGTTGTGCTAGCTTTTTAAGTGCAGTAAACTCAAAGAAACGGATTTTTTTCAACACGTGAGTTACCTCATAGATCTTAAATAAATTGAAAAAAACATTAAAGTATATTTTTCAAAATGTGAGCTATGTATAAGTATTGGACTTAGTATAATTTTTTTTTAATTGTTTTAGGTCTAACACGATTCTCTTTCACCTACAACCGATAGTTCGAGTTTTAAGTAAAACACAATCGTTGATTATGACTATTTTAAAAGGCAGTAAACTTGTGTTAGCCTTAACAATTACTTTACCACTGAGTTCATTCGGTTTTCCCGTACAAGAAGAAAATGGAATTATACGCCTTGTAAATAAAACACGCATTTATTGTGTGGACGAGAAAAATGTTGATTCGGCGATGTTTACGAATCCACCACTAGAAAAGGTTGGACAAGGCAAAAATTTAGTAGAGTCTGAAATCTGGGAAAACGACGACTGGATAATAAAAGATTCAAATCACTTGATATCAAGAATAACCGACAAAAGATGGGAAGGTATGTATTTCTTGTATGTCCATGAAAATATTATAATCTAATTATAATCAGTAATCACAATTCAGGAAATCAGTGATAGATTTTTTTTAGTATAAGTACCTGCTAAGGTAAAAATGTTTGGGTGTGTAAAGGCCGATTGGCTTAAATTTTTTAAGTGGGAAAATTCTAATGATACATGATTGTGCATTACATTTTATTCAACATTCCATTTTTTTTTAAACTGAGTTTTTTTATGGTATTTTTCTATTAGCTATTGGTAGACTGTACGTTTTCTGTGGATTTTTGAAAGAATTTGTAACCAACCAGTAGCAACGTTGTTTTTTCTTGTAACCTGAAAATCTGTAGATCTTTCGTTTCTATCGGTTGTTGATGAGCAAAGTAAAAATATACTCGTATTGAGTTATTTTTCTATGATTTCTAGTTTTAACTTTTGTCCAGCAGGTGTGTGTATGTCTCTGCTGGTCAGCTGGTACTATACTTCTATCCACAGTATGTCGTGTGTTGATTTAAATTTTGAATTTTCAATTAAAAGGGGGGATTTCTGTGCAATGGGTTAAATAGAATAAAAAAGGTTGGTCAAAATTTTCATGTTCACAAATATGTATAGCACGGCCTTCTTGATAGATAGACAGACTTTCAATCTATACGGGTGTGCGAGTAATCAAAATTTCTGTGTATGACACATCACTATATCACTAGTCTTCAGTGGCGTAGCTACCTTCCACTGCGCCCCCCCGCAGTTTATAGTAAGCGCCGTCATACATCAAATTTAAAAAGTAATATAAATATGTACTTACTCGTTTGTACATTTTAAAAAATATATCAGCTCTGCGGGGGTGCTATTTACGCCACTGCTAGTCTTGTTACTATTAGGCAGAAAAAAGTGAGAGCTTGTCGATTAAACTCCACTACATGCACTTTGTCTTCCAAAAGATAGCAACGAGTGGTGGGAGTCAGTTTATCGTTATATCTATATGATATTTAGTGGTAGTAGTGTAGAGCCATCTATTGAGAGAAAAAGAAAATACCAAATGTGTAAGGTTGGTTGCATACTTGAATTACAAACGATTGTAATTTTAATACTTTTTATAGTAGAAATTATTGTTAAAATTTTACGAAGTCCTTCAATACAAATTATGTTACTATTTATAATTATTTTACAAATAATTTTATCTTTTCATATCTTTGCGATGACCCCATATTTAATTGTAATTCACATTTAAACATTTTTTGTAAATACCACAATTTTGAAGAAGCTTATTTTGCCCATTGTAGTAAATTGTAATAAGCACACTTAAAGCATTCAAAAAACTAAAATATTCAAACCAAAAGAGGAAATTGTTGAAATTAAATTAATAACAATAATTGTACTAAATAAAACAATTAATGTTATTTTCTATATTTTAGTGATTATTTTGTTGGTTGTCGAACTTTATTATGTTTAAAGAAGTTGTTTTTTATTAGTAAAATTCCATTTTTTTTTTGTAAATTTATATTATATTTGATAAATTTGATATTAAAAAAACAATCGTGGGGGAATTTGAAATGGGGAATATTGAGAAATAAGGTATATTTTTGGTTGTATAACCTATGTGGATAAAATATATTTATATAAGGACAATAGTGTAAATCTTAAAAAATTGGTCTAAAGAGTTTAGACAGTACTTCCCTCGCTGTCGGAAACTTGACGACTGCATACCTATTGTGTTTTTTTTCTCATTACATTTTTGTAGTGGGAATTTAAAAAAAAATTGCGATGACGTCATCAACATTTTTGCAAGGACACGTATATCAGTTGGGATAGATGTAGTGTAATACTAAGAATAAAATTATTATATTCTCAAATTTTCGGGAAAATGAATTGGGTCGTTTTGAATATTGATTTGTAATAATCAATAAAATAACGAAACAATTTACTCACGTATACATATCAGAGGCAACTGAAAATCGTGTATGTATAAACATTCTTAATTTAAGATGACAGGCGTAACACCATACGTGAGAGTCAAACAGAGAAACTGTAAACAAAACGACCATCGGTTTTATTGCTTCGACTTCCGCTTATTATATAAAACATTGGGTTTTATTTTAATTCTTGACGGTGAAATTCACAATTGGTTGATTATAAACATGTCTATTTCACATTCGCGGAACCAAGTGAGCGCATAAAACAAATGCAAGTCTGTAATGTTAAAGTCGATGTAAATAAGCGTGCTACCCTTATGTTTCAACCGAGTTTTTCCTTTAACAAATTTTGTGTCTACCAAATTGGGTTGGTTGGGGTGTAATACTAATAATAAGTGTTGCCTTTAATTTAATCTATAAAATAAATTGACTTCATTAATTTTTTTGAACCACCTCTTAAGAAAATCTAAAAAATACGAATGGAATGATAAATCACAAGTACAAACTCATCATATTTTTTGCATTTTATATAGGATTTATTCAGCAAAATTTAAGGGTGACGTCATCAATTTTTTTAGGAGGGATGAACAAATACATTTTGAACAAAAGTTTACCATGCTTATAATAACTTTAAAATATTCCCAAGATTTCAAAACATTCGGTTTTCTAATTCCTGATTAAATCGATAAAATAAATTCACGCCTTCATTAATTTTTTTTAGTCACCCTGCATATGCAAATCCAAAAATATGATTGGAATGATAAATCACAAGTACAGACTCATCATATTTTGTACATTTTAGATACGATTTATTCGGCAAACTTTTGAGCTGACGTCATCAGTTTTTTGTAGAAGATAACCAAATATATTTTGACTAAAAATTTATTATGCTCTTTATAACCTTAAAACATCTGCAAGATTTCAAAGCATTCGGTTGTGTAGTTCCTGATTAAATCAATAAAATAAATTTACGCATTCATTAATTTTTTTGAGTCACCCTGTATATGCAAACCGAAAAAATTTGAATGGAATGATAAATCACAAGAAGAGACTCACCATATTTTGTACAATTTAGATAGGATTTTTTCAGCAAAATTTTGTGGTGACATCATAAATTTTTTAGGGGGGACGACCAAATACGTTTTGATCAAAAATTTACCATGCTTATGATAATTTTAAAATATCTTCAAGATTTCGAAGCATTCGGTTTTGTAGTTCCTGAGTAAATCAGTAAAATAAATTTACGCTTTCATTTATTTTCTTGAATCACCCTGTATATGCAAATCCAAAAAATATGAATGGAGTGATAGATCACAAGTACAGACTGATCATATTTTGTACATTTTAGATATGATTTATTCGGCAAATTTTCGAGCTGACGTCATCAAGTTTTTGGAGGGGATAAGCAAATATATTTTGACTAAACATTTATTATGCTCTTTATAACCTTAAAACATCTGCAAGATGTCAGAGCATTCCGTTCTGTAGTTCCTGATTAAATCAATAAAATATATTTACGCATTCATTAATTTTTTTGAGTCACTCTGTATGTGCAAATCCAAAAAATATGAATGGAGTGATAAATGACAAGTACAGGCTCATCATATTTTATACATTTTAGATATGATTTATTCGGCAAACTTTCGAGCTTACGTCATCAAGTTTTTGGAGGGGATAAGCAAATATATTTTGACTAAACATTTATTACGCTCTTGATGACCTTAAAACATCTGCAAGATTTCAAAGCATTCGGTTTTGTAGTTCCTGATTAAATCAATAAAATATATTTACGCATTCATTAATTTTTTTGAGTCACCCTGTATATGCAAATCCAAAAAATATGAATGGAGTGATAGATCACAAGTACAGACTCATCATATTTTGTACATTTTAGATATGATTTATTCCACAAACTTTTGAGCTGACGTCATCAAGTTTTTGGAGGGGATAAGCAAATATTTTTTGACTAAAGATTTATGATGCTCTTTATAGCCTTAAAACATCTGCAACATTTCAAAGCATTCTGGTTAGCAGATTAAAAATTAAATTTCAAAATGTTGTTTTATAATTTTGATTTTTTTTCCAAAAATCTGGACGTTTCGGGTGAAAAGTCGATTCAGAGTTGTAAACTACATGTGTAGGACTATGTTATTTTATACAATCGAAAACCCATTTACTATGTACAATTTTGAAGTGACGTCATCGCATTAGTGGTGGGGATGATTAGACAAATTTTGGTTAGCGTTTTACCATCTACATGATATTCTTAATATAAGTACAAAATTTCACAACAATCGGTCGAGTACTTTCGGAGATTATCTGTCTAATAAAAATCCGGGACAACAGACGGACAGACGGACAGACGGACAGACGGACGGACGGACGGACAGACGGACAGACGGACGGACAGACGGACAGACGGACGGACAGACGGACAGACAGACGGAAATGGGAGACTTATTTCTTCGTCTTCTAGGGGTCATGAAAGATCGAGAAAACGTAAAAGTAGAGAGTCGGCCGACGGACTCGATTACAATACTTCCTTTGCTTACGCTCGGGAAGTAAAAAGTGACCCAAGAAAGAAAATGTTCAAAACTTAAAAATAGCAGACATATTCTATAATAAATTAAACAGATATAATTAATCTATTTGTTTAATTAATAAAAAAATATTATTTTCCGCAGTTGATTAATAAACTATTTAATTTAAACATTTAATTTCAATTAAGTACTAGTGGAAGGTTATTTCGACAATTTCCCTCGTCTCTGTATAATATATTTTTTGATGATTTTCACACAGACAAGACGAAAAATTTACAATGCACAATAATTATTCTTCATTCATTCACGTACAGTTTTAATCACTGAATCTTGGGCAAGGTGGTTAATGAATTATCCTAAATTTTAAAACATCCTTTAGAAACTCCTAACCCATTTTTTTTTTGTTTGTCATTACTGCCTAATTATGTCAATTTATAAAATGACACGTGTCAAAATTCATTTGGCTTTTTTTACAACATATCAGCTGCATTTACATTTAGAATTTTGAAAATCGCAGAAGAAACTTGCCCAAGATTCAGTGATTGCGACTGTATCTGTGTAAAAATAATTTAGCTTTATACTTGAATGTTTAGTTCTGTTTTGCTCAAGTGAAGTGTGATTATTAGGACAATCATATTTTTAACAAAATGTTTGAAATTCATAGATATATTGAAAATATGCTCACACAAAATCATGCCACAGTTTGATATTTTGGAAGAATCGTCTAGACTGACTGGGAGTTTTTTCTTTCCGGGAGATAATGACGACGTTGCATTTAAAAATACAAATTGGCAGCGTGATTATGCTCATACCATTTCTGATTCTACTGCGATATACTACGTAATAACTTATTATAAATCTAGGATAAGTATATCACATAGAGATATCGCAAGTAGATATTATGAAACCTATTGATTTGAGAGCACAATCTGAGACCGTCTGTGCATACATTAACAAAGAAATTTGTGTAGAAGTAAAATTTGATTGGTGTACACTATTTTTCAGATTTTAATTCGACCAAAACAGATTACACAGCCTTTAATGATGTGATGACTTCTGTAGCTTTCTCAGTTTACCAAGCAAAGGAAATAGAATTGTTTGCGCACGATGGAGAAGCAATGGATTATTTCCACAAAGAGCTCAAAAATATCGAAGGATGGACCACGTTTAGTATTTTTTTCAAAAACAACCATATACATTACATCATGGATAATGATTTGATCCGGAGATATTTGATAAAACCTACTTTTGTTGGGGTGAAAACTAAAAACGAAACATATTTTAAAATTCACAGTTGTAAGTATAATAATAATTTTTCGGTGATTTTTATGTTGTATACTTATTTGGTTACGAATGCATTTATTTTATTCAATATTAAATTTATAATGAATGTACAAAATTAACTATGAAAGGTTACCTGAATATTACTAAACATAATTATAAATGTGCATAATTAAAGACGTCACCTATGAGTATAACATTTTTATAATGATTTATGTTGATGTGCTTTTATTTTCTAAACTCGATTAATTGAAATAATTACAGATTTCAATGTCATTCTGAATAAAATTGTATAATAATTTTTAACCATGTTACGGACTAAAATTATAATTAACATTTAAATCAATTTTAAGTTTTTTTTTCTTAAGCAGTTTAGCTGAAACTACTGAATTGAAAATCCTGAATTAGTGTACTTAAAATGTTCTCACTTTCTTGATAATTAATTTTTAGTCAGATAAAATTGTTAAGCAATAGAATAGCTATTTATGGTATAAGTGAATAAAAGTGAATTTTATCCAACGAAAAAACAGTTTAGCACACGAGGCGAAGCTGAGTGTGATAATGTTTTTGAGTGGATAAAATTCGTTTATTCACGTGTATCATACAAGATTTTTTCCAATTTCGCAAAATTTTTCAAAAAATTTATTGATTAGGTAATCCATATACATAATATTAATTGTACTATTACTAATATGATGAACATTTGAAGAAGGTAAATTGCCTAAGCTGCCTGTACTTTCGTCACGGTCAAATTCAAACGATGCTCCTGGACTTTCATTAGGATTGTTTTACAGGAGGTGGATTATCAAGCGTTGCAAATTTTAGTTGAATATCCACACATCCATAGCAACGTAAATTTCAGTGGTAGTGGGAATTTTTATTTTTTTTACTTTATTCGTGTTGTCAATGACAGTGTGAATAAAGTGTTGCTACAAACATTTTATTCATCCTTTCGATTAAACTATTGTTTTAATAGCGAGATTTGACATACAAAATGAGCATTTTATTAGTAGAAATTGGAAAAAAGTTATTTTCAAACACTAACATCTTATACTGTTTCTATGGTTCATAAGAACTCGTATGTTAACTTTGATTTAAAATAACGTTGTTCTCTTAAAGTACGCTGTCAATGGCAACGTATCTTATAGCTTCTTAAAATACGATTTCGCATATTTCAAGTTTTTTATTTCGAATCTTTACAATAATTATCACCAAAGTTAAAAGTACAATTATTAAAATAAACATTTTGAGCGGTGTTCTTGCTAGTACTAGAGCTAGAACTGGAACTGCCACACGCTTCACTGTAACTTAAGTTCGTGGGTTTGTCCACAACGATTTCATTGTCAACTAATTCATTCGGTGCCAGCTTTTCATCTCCAAAAACTTTTTGAGCAATTTTCACTCTTTCTCCAAAAGATTCTTGGATGTAAGATTCTGCCATCTTGGTCGATTCCCACCCGCCATGCCTCTTCAACGAAGTAATGTCTCCGCCTGCATTGAATATAAAGTTACTTTGAAGAATAAAGGTAATCATTACAATACCTGCGTTAACCAGGAGAGTTGCCAAATGACCTGTGTATTTAGCTGGATTTTCCAGATTGAGGAAAGTTGCAATTTTTCTGGGAATTTTTCCAAAGGTGTTAATTCCTACATTTTGGCGAGTACATTTACCTTTATAATAGTGTAAAAAAAACCTCAATGGTGAATTTGTGGGTCGTAAAGCAACATAACGTCGATACAAATCAATGGTATTAACACCAAAGCCTTCATTAACTACACTGAAGCTTCTTTCTTTGTGGGTTTTACTGTCAGGTATAACAATATTCAGAACATTACCACAATCTTGTATATCGCCAAATCTCATAACACACAATTCGGCCTTTCTGCAAGCTCCGGCAATTCCAAAGATTAAAGCAACCTACACGATTTCATATGTATAAAAAATACTTCTTATTAAGTAATTCTTACCTTCTCGATTAAATATTCTCCGTCATCAGCTTCTTGCAAGAAAGTTTTGATTTCTTCTCGTGTCAGAACGTTGGATATTTTGCCACGATAACCAACATTTAATTTTTTTATATACGAAATAACAGCACCAAATTTTTCAATATCTATGTTTTCTTTTGCCTTTAGAGTGGCCTTTAACATTGAATATTCTGGCCATAAAGAACAAGGTGACAACTTTTGCGACTGTAATTGTTAAATAATTTAGTTTTATGAATTTTACTAAATATGTACTCACTCTCATGTCCAAAAAAACCAAGATAACATCTTCGGTTACTTCCTTGATGCGGTTTTAATTTTTCCAGTCTTCGAACGAAACATACACTTTCTCGTATGCATTTTTTGACTTTAAGGGTAACAAAATGCTTCGCAATTCTTTTCCCGGTAATTGTTTAGAAGCAAGGCAAACATGAAATCTTCATAGAAAAATTTAGTTTCTTCACTAATCTTACCTAAAATTGTCTCAAGAACTCAGATCTGACGGCGGCAAAGTCAAAAGTATGCGATTTTTATCAAATTCTTGATTTTTCGTGAAGCGAATCGGAGCGATTAAGAGGTTATAATATTTATTGGACATTATTAAGCATAAGAAACATTTGACTTACGAAACAAGGTCATTTATATCCAAATTGTGCTTTTAATTTTCTTAAGAACCACTAAAATATTAATCCCCATTAAAATATCAGATTAAAAAATATTCAAATAACAATCTTCAAATTTTGACAACGATAAACTATTAACACACTCATTGAAGTGAAGATAGCTCACTGTTCGTCATTTTTGTTTTATATCTTCGACTATGCTATGGAAAGACTGCCACTTTTCTTCACTAATGCCAATCAGATCAGACTAACAATAATTAACTACCGTGCAATAAAGTGATGTCTTTTTATTTTCGAAATATATTAAGGCAGGTTCAAGCAAAAAAAAATAGTCATTTCCAAGTTTGGAGATTGCGACGACTCTCGCGCGCATGCGAGAATCTACTCGACCAGCAGTTATACAAAAATCGCCAATTTACGAAAAACGAGATTTGCACGCAAACTTAACAGTAATATTTAATTATATTAACTATTTAACGTGAAACAATTTGTAATGAACTAACTTTTGAAATGTTCAAGCAAGTTCTGAAATGTGTATTCTGTCTCATATATTGTTACAGAGGTGTTCTGCATTAATTTTTTTTTTTTTTATATATATAATAGGTAATAGTAGATTCCATTTTATACAAATGATACAAAAGTTTAATTGCCGTGTCGGATCGGATCACAATATAAAAATCTTCAAATTTCAAATGCATGCGATTCGACGCTATTCGACCCGATCTGACCTGATTTAATCGACTCGATCCGATCTGCTCCGATATGACCGCGCGGCGCGGATCAGGTCACATCACCTCATAAAATAATGATCTTCGAATACCAGCCGCGAATCTGATCGGGAGATAATGTAACAATCTTCGAAAGCACGCGATCCGAACTAATGTGACTCGATCCGATCCAATTCCACTCGATCCTATCCGATTCCATCCAATCCTAACTGGCCCAACCCGATGGGTTCATAATATACGTAACTATCTTCGAACGCGCCTGATCCGATCCGACTCGGTTCTATCCGATCGAGCTCGGTCTTATCCGATTTCACTCGATCCGTTCCAACTCGATCCAATCCGATCTGATTCGATCTTAACGATCCGCGCGCAACGCGGATTGGGTCAATTCGAGTCATAATGTAACAATTCTTCTATACACGCGATAAACAATCTAACCCGATTCGATCTGACTCCATCCTATCCGATTCGACTAGACCCCCTCCGATGTGATACGTGCAGATCGGGTTACGTCGGCTCATAATATGAAAATGAATGCAAATGATCCGACTCGATCTGACCCACACCATCGGTGCGCGAAGATCAAATCGGATACGGTCGGGTCAGATCTCGTCCGATCGGATCGATTTGAGTCGTATAGCAATCATCACATGCATGAAATCGGATCGGGAAGGGTCAAATAGATTCGAATCAGGTTAGACCAGGTGCAGTCGATGAGTTTAAATGACTCCATCTGACTCCACTTGATCTGATTCGACCCGATCGGGCGCTCGGATCGGATCAGATCGGACAGAATCGGGTCAGATCAGATGCAGGTGATAAGTTAAATGATACCCTATCAGACACTATTCGACCCGATCCGATTCGCCAATCGGATCGGGTCGAATAGCGACTGATTGAATCTAGTTGGATCGGGTCACATCAGGTGCAGCAGAAGAGTTTTATAACCCGATGTGACCCTAATCGACGCGTAGGCTCGGGTCGGGTCGGCTCGGGTCAGATCGCGTCGGGTTGGGTCAGGTCAGGTCGGCGAAGGCTCGGGTCAGGTCCGGTCGGGTCAGTTCGTGTCGGGTCGGCTCGGCTCGGATCGGGCCAGGTCAGGTCAGGTCGGCTTGGCTTGGGTCAGGTCGTGTCGGTTTGGGTCAGGTCAGGTCAAGTCGACTCGGCTCGGGTCGGGTCGGGTCGGGTCAGGTCGGCTCGGCTTGGGTCAGGTCGGCTCGGCTTGGGTCAGGTCGGCTCGGCTTGGGTCAGGTCGCGTCGGGTCGGGTCGGGTCGGCTCGGGTCGGGTCGGGTCGGGTCGGGTCGGCTCTGGTCAGGTCGGGTCTAGTCGGATCGGGTCGGGTCGGGTCGGCTCGGGTCGGAGCGGGTCAGGTCGAGTCGGCACAAGTCGGGTCGGGTCAGGTCGGCTCGGCTTGGGTCAGGTCGGGTCGGGTCGGGTCAGGTCGGCTCGGCTTGGGTCAGGTCGGGTCGGGTCGGCTCGGGTCGGGTCGGCTCGGGTCAGGTCAGGTCGCGTCGTGTCGGGTCGGGTCGGGTCGGGTCGGCTCTGGTCAGGTCGGGTCGGCTCGGGTCGGCTCGGGTCGGGTCGGCGCGGGTCAGGTCGAGTCGGCACAAGTCGGGTCGGGTCAGGTCGGCTCGGCTTGGGTCAGGTCGGGTCAGGTCGCGTCGGGTCGGGTCGGCTCGGGTCAGGTCGGGTCGGGTCGGGTCGGGTCGGGTCGGGTCGCCACAAGTCGGGTCGGGTCAGGTCGGCTCGGCTTGGGTCAGGTCGGGTCGGGTCGGTTCGTGTCGGCTCGGCTCGGCTCGGATCGGGTCAGGTCAGGTCAGGTCGGCTTGGCTTGGGTCAGGTTGTGTCGGTTTGGGTCAGGTCAGGTCAGGTCAAGTCCGCTCGGCTCGGCTCGGGTCGGGTCGGGTGAGGTCGGCTCGGCTTCGGTCAGGTCGGGTCAGGTCGCGTCGGGTCGGGTCGGCTCGGGTCAGGTCGGGTCGGGTCGGGTCGGGTCGGCGCGGGTCAGGTCGAGTCGGCATAAGTCGGGTCGGGTCAGGTCGGCTCGGCTTGGGTCAGGTCGAGTCGGGTCGGTTCGTGTCGGGTCGGCTCGGCTCGGATCGGGTCAGGTCAGCTCAGGTCGGCTTGGCTTGGGTCAGGTCGCGTCGGTTTGGGTCGGGTCAGGTCAAGTCGGCTCGGGTCGGGTCGGTTCGGGTCGGGTCAGGTCGGCTCGGCTTGGCTCAGGTCGGGTCAGGTTGCGTCGGGTCGGCTCGGGTCGGATCGGGTCGGCTCGGGTCAGGTCGGGTCGGGTCGGGTCGGGTCAGGTCGCGTCGGGTCGGATCGGGTCCGGTCGGGTCGGGTCGGGTCAGGTCGGCTCGGCTTGGACAATTGCGGAACCGTCTTAACATGTTGTGCGAGACCAGAAAATCAACAACGCGCCTCCGATCCTCGCAACGCACCGCAAGTTGTCGCAGCGAATTCGTACAACCCTCACACGCCATTATGAACAATTAATACAATTGACATATGTCATTAAAAGCCGCCACTTAACTTCCGCAGGGGCAAATGATGGATTATGTCTTTGATGTAATTTTTATTATTATAAAAAAATTTAAAATTGAAAGCATTCCGAATTATTAGTGAATTATTTAAAAGATTCGCGGTCGTTTCCTTTACATTCGAAATTACAAAATGCACAAGTGTAGAAAATGTGACCGTCTGTCAGTAGCTCCACGTGGTTGAACTACCGCTAACTTCATTCAAAACAAAATCGGAGAAAATGACATTTGTGCATGTTTCTTACAGTTGTGATTATAGGTTATGTTTATAAAAAATACAAACAATATTAGTGGTATTATTCTATTTTAGAATATAATAACCGCTATAACGTGGAAATTTGTGGAAACAAAGTCGAGAATTCGTGGAAACGTTATTCGCAATGGTTCTAAAACGATTAATTCCGTGTCATATTGTGAAATAAATATTTTCGCCAATGATGTTCCGTGGCCCCGAAAACTACCTCCAACTTTTTAATGGTACATTTTTCCACTTCTCCGACACCGGAATTGAAATTATTGAAGGTTTCTGAGTAAGTTTAGTAAAAAATTTTCTTTGTTTCATGTATTTTTAGCGTTTGCCCCGCTTCTAAACTGTTACCCTTTTCCCTTTTCCGGAATTTCTTCCGGAACGTTTTCGCACATTTTGACGATGAAAATTGTTTTTTTCAAAATTTGTTTACTTGTCATAGTTACAATACACAGCAATCTTACTATGATACTATGAAGCTTCACAAATGATTTGTCAAAATTTGTAGTAATGAATTGATCAAAAAGGAGTTGACGAATTACTGTTAGTGTTTGAAAAAATCTTGAAGCCAACACGTGTTTTATAGTTTAAAAATCTCGCTCTATAAAATCCTCGCTCCCTTCGGTCGCTCGGATTTTAACTACGATCTTGATTTTTAAACTGTCTATAAAACACTAGTTGTCTTAATAGCTATTAAAATCGAGAGTACTTAATATGGGAATACTAACGATAATGTCGACAATTACCGTTTAAAAATGTCACAAAGTGCATATGATCCTATTAAAAAAAGTGCGCATTTTCTAATCTCCCATTTTCACTTACATGTTGTTTGCAGTTCCGTTTTTGGATTTGATTACTTTGGGACCAGTTTGTCATGTATATTTTGAACTAAAAAATAAAAAAAATTGGTCTAAAGAGTTTAGACAGTACTTCCCTCGCTGTCGGAAACGTGACGACTGCATGCCTATTATGTTTTTTTTTTCGCAGTGGATTTCAAAGAATTCGGTTTTGTAGTTCCTGATTAAATCAATAAAATATATTTACGCATTCATTAATTTTTTTGAGTCACTCTGTATATGCAAATCCAAAAAATATAAATGGAGTGATAAATGACAAGTACAGACTCATCATATTTTGTACATTTTAGATATGATTTATTCGGCAAACTTTCGAGCTGACGTCATCAAGTTTTTGGAGGGGATAAGCAAATATATTTTGACTAGACATTTATTATGCTCTTTATGACCTTAAAACATCTGCAAGATTTCAGAGCATTCGGTTTTGTAGTTCCTGATTAAATCAATAAAATATATTTACGCATTCATTAATTTTTTTGAGTCACCCTGTATATGCAAATCCAAAAAATATGAATGGAGTGATAAATTACAAGTACAGACTCATCATATTTTTACAGTTTAGATAGGATTTATTCGGCAAACTTTCGAGCTGACGTCATCAATTTTTTGGAGGGGATAAGCAAATATATTTTGACTAAACATTTATTATGCTCTTTAGAACCTTAAAACATCTGCAAGATTTCAAAGCATTCGGTTTTGTAGTTTCTGAGTAAATCAGTAAAATAAATTTACGCATTCATTAATTTTTTTGAGTCACCCTGTATATGCAAATCCAAAAAATATGAATGGAGTGATAGATCACAAGTACAGACTCATCATATTTTGTACATTTTAGATATGATTTATTCCACAAACTTTTGAGCTGACGTCATCAAGTTTTTGGAGGGGATAAGCAAATATTTTTTGACTAAAGATTTATGATGCTCTTTATAGCCTTAAAACATCTGCAACATTTCAAAGCATTCTGGTTAGCAGATTAAAAATTAAATTTCAAAATGTTGTTTTATAATTTTGATTTTTTTTCCAAAAATCTGGACGTTTCGGGTGAAAAGTCGATTCGGAGTTGTAAACTACATGTATAGGACTATGTTATTTTATACAATTGAAAACCCATTTACTATGTACAATTTTGAAGTGACGTCATCGCATTAGTGGTGGGGATGATTAGACAAATTTTGGTTAGCGTTTTACCATCTACATGATATTCTTAATATAAGTACAAAATTTCACAACAATCGCTCGAGTACTTTCGGAGATTATCTGTCTAATAAAAATCCGGGACAACAGACGGACAGACGGACGGACAGACGGACAGACGGACGGACAGACGGACAGACGGACAGACGGACGGACAGACGGACAGACGGACAGACGGACAGACAGACGGAAATGGGAGACCTATTTCTTCGTCTTCTAGGGGTCATGAAAGATCGAGAAAACGTAAAAGTAGAGAGTCGGCCGACGGACTCGATTACAATACTTCCTTTGCTTACGCTCGGGAAGTAATAAATAGAGTACTTACTTCGTAACCATGTCATGTAACACGAAAGTTACAAATAATTTATACATGTAAGATACCTGCAGTTGTTCCCTATTTCAATTTAAGAAACAGTTGCTTTATTTATTATCATCATCACTCTTGATTTTTTTCAGATAAATATAAAGAAGCAACTAATGTTACAAATACAAAAAATGGTCCTACGTCTTTGAAGATTCCTACCATCAGTAACCATTCTCTTCTGGTTCTTTACATTTCTTTATGTAGATCATGTGTACTAGAAGTAGAATATGGTGGTGATCGTACAAATATCACTTCAACCATTAAGGAAACGGATGATTTCGAAAAATGGGAGATATACAAAATCAGTTTAAATTCTTCTATAGCAAATGAAGTCAATTTAATTAGGACAAAGACTAGTCAAACAGAAGACGGATACTGGAGACTGGATGCAAGATTACATGATAATGAATACAATGTTGGTAAGTTGCTGAAAAATATTATTATGTTAGTAAACCTTACACTACTTACTAATTCACTATCAAAAATAATATTTGTTTGTGATTTTTGGATTTATTCATGTATTCGACTAATTTTTAACCTAACTATTAATAAAATAGTGCATTCAATTTATTTTCAGCGGCGTACAACATTAATTCTTCCATCAACCCCGTGGAGATAGAGTGTAAATATTTACAACCATCAGACATTGCGAAAGAAAATAGACCGAAAAGAAATGTGGATTCATCAAAATTTTCTATAGATACTAATTGTCCTTTAGGGATGGTTGGCGCGAATTGTGACATAAGTTGTGCGAAGGTTCTAGGACAGCAATATCCGCACTGTCAGGGGCACCAGATTTGTGATTCAACGAACTGTGGATGTGTAAAGTGTTATACAGGGTATTGGTGTGATGAAAGTATGTATTTTTAAAAATTTCGTCAACTAAATATATTGTCATGAATAATATTTAAAATTACAGAGGTGGATGACGGAAATCAGTGTCCAGAGCACAATAAGGATTACCCGGAAAATACGAAAGAAGGTATATAAAAAATTATTAGCGTTTCGCACATGTGATTAAAAAAGCACAAATGTTTGAACTCGGTATTAATTTTACCTAAATATTTAATAAGAGAATATTAACAACACCAAGAAATAATTAGTTATACAAAATACTACATAGTAAGACTAGACTGCAACAAATTCTCTGATTTAGTAACTGAATACAGCGTTATATGTATAATTCAATAAATTATTTTCCTTTACTCTTCTTCGAGAAATATGTTTAAAATAAAATTTGAATGATGTTATGTCGTTTAGTAAATGTTATCGTAACAAGACTAAAAATCGTACAATATCTCGTGTCAAATGAACCAGTTGCATCACCAAAATTACTAAGCAAAAACAAGAAAGGAGAAAAAGGCGGCTCGAAAAGCGAAAAAAAAGACGAAAAGGAATTAGATGTATTTCTAGCAATCGAAAAAGCTCATCGAGATGAAAGTGAATCTGTTGAGGAACCGCTCAGACACTCGTAATCTCCCAGCAACAGACTGACGTTGATGCAGCGAAAGTTGACAACTTTTTATTTTGAAGGAATCATAACAATAATAATAACTCCAGTCATGTCAATAGTGTTATCACATTTATAAATAAAAGAAACAATTTCGTTAATCGCTAACGGAAAGCGCTTTTGTTTACTACAAGAGTTTAGTAGATCATCCAGGCTAAAATTTTGCATCGCAATTGTAGTGGTTCTTTTACTGAATTGCTGTTTCACAGTATTTACATATCCGTTGTTAATTTTGTTTTTTTTTTTTGCAGGTAGTTCACGCAGCTGGATGTTCTGGCCTAACATATTTTTATGGACAGTAGTATTAAGCGTGATTATAATTGAAGGAGGGAGGCGTACCACAGGTCGGTGTACTAGACCACAGGTTCGGTTGTCTAGAGTATCTGCTGTAACGCAGTGTGGCGAAAGTGAACACAACATTACGTTGTTACGTCGAGAAAGTAACGCGTCTGCTCGAATGTAGATTGTGTAACGCGTAAGTAGAACTAAGGACAGAGATAATTGACCAGTAAAGTAAACGACCCGCGAAATTTGAACTCATTTCATAACACGAGACCCGTATTTCAGTTCCCCGTGTAATCCTTATGGGTGAAATCGAGGCGTCATTTCAACGCTTAAATTCTACCATTAAAGTAATTTTCTTATATATCCCATTACCTGTACCAATAAGACTGATATTTTTACTGTTAATCTTGATACCAAACATGAATCGAACTAGTGGTATTTAATAAATATTTAAATTCAACTTTTATCACTACATTTGCCTCGAACGTATGTCGTACAGTGGTTCATACTACCATTGACTTCCCCCTCCACATAAATCGCTTTGATTTTCAGATGCTACAGATACGGCTGTGAATTTAAAATAATACGTAATGGAGATCTCATATTTACAAATGTTTTCAATCAATTGCCAAATTTTGATTTTAAAATCATCATCAATCCCAAGCTTCCTCAGGATCTGTGGGTTTAGTGAATTACTCAGCTTTGGTTAGATTCACACACTTATTTAATTTGGTTATTTCACCGCGTAGTTCTAAGTTTTCTTTAGATAAATTATTAACTGACGTTTGTAATGCTTCAATTATATTTAATAATGGTTTATAGTTATCGAAAATGAATTATACCAGTGATTAAAAGTGCGCCATGGTGTTGCTAAATGGTTCAATAAAGTCTGGGAGAGCAGAGAGGCAATTTTGAACAACTTTAATAGATGTTCTCTTCTTTTATTCCTTATTTTTTTTATTGAATAAAAAAAAATCATATGTGTAGCAATAAAAAAAAATAAAGCTGACTACTGTCTGACAAAAATTAAAATAAATTAATAAACAAAATTTTGATCAGATTACAATGAAGCATGTATTATCCAGTTTTTCTAAGACAATATTGCAGTGTGTTGCAATTTAGTTAGATATTAGGTTTCGTCTGTGATATTATGTTTATGTATCAATGTAGCATTGCCTATTTTCTATTAAGTTATTGTTATTGATTAACTTAAGAGTTATTGCTTTGGCAGATATTTTGTTATGCAGTGGCGGTTTCTTATGATATTTATTTTGGAAGGAAGTGACACACTTTCGTGCTTATTTAGTTTTTAATAAGCGGGAAAATATATTGTACAATAAAGGACATGAGTTTTTTTTGTCTTAGCCTACTAGATGGCGCTAATGTGCATTTAGTAGGCTAAATATGTAATACATTTTTATTTAAATATTTTGGAAAGGTATTGCGATTGTGATTTATTTTCTTGTAGACTAAATCAATATAAACTTTGTATTAGTGAGCGATTTTCTTAGTTGGAGTGAGTATTACTGTTAGTTAGTTATGATTGTCTGGTAAGAGCGGTTAGGTTATTGAAAGACACATGCATATACATACTCGTATATGTCTTTGGTTATTTATTGCTTCTTAATTTTTGCCGTTTATTGCTTTATTGAATTCTAACTTTATTCTAGTATAATTTGTCATCTGTATTAGAATTAGTATTAGAATGTATATTTATTTATTTATGTATTTTTGTCCTATAATTGGAACTTGTTTCTGTGGGGCAAATAAAGTTATTATTATTATTATTATTAATATTATTATTTAGCGGTCACCAACATCTTAGAGGAGGCAAGGGAGGCACAGCCTCCCCAAAAATTCTATTGTGTTTAATTATTTTAATCTAATATATAAAAATGGATGTTGGTATATATATATATCTGTGATCGATAGACTCCGAAATCGTTTGACCGATCACCATGAAATTTGGCACATGTAAGTGGTTTTTCATGGAGAAGGTTTTTGTGGTATCCGCTTTGCTGTAACTAGCCACTAGATGGCGCTACAGCACATCAACTTCTACACCGTTCAACCGATTCTCATAAAAATTGGTACACGTTGGCATTTGACTATGGAAAATATTTTCGCCCTATCCATTTTGCTGTAACTCGCCACTAGATGGCGCTGCAACACATCAACTTCTGTACCAATCAACCGATCCTCATGAAAATTGATATACGTTAGTATTTGACCATGGAGAATATTTTCGCGCTATCGATTTTGCTGTAACTTGCCACTAGATGGCACTGCAGCACATCAACCTCTCTGTTAAAGTATTATGAACTTAGTCAATCAGCGGCACCCATATATCTAATACTACTATATTGCTATCAGGCCTCAAAAGAGTCCGAAAACACAATGGCAGAGCAATATATCGGACCTCTTTGTCTCTTTATAATACCAAACAGTACTGCTCATAGACTCGTGCTTGCTTGATTTTTAGTCGATTATGTGACTAGATGTGTTTTGACATTTCATACGTTCGCTTCTATTTTGTGTACGTGCGCACATACCCTCGGTACTTTTCTAGACAGAAAACAATATCTTCCGTTTCCCTTTGTCCGTGAACACCGTTTCTATGTTACTTCTGAAGAGTTCGCAAGTATTAGATATATGGCGGCACCAATGACAACATTGTTTTCGTTGGTATTACAACAAAAATCGTATTAACCGCAAAAGAAAATAATTAGTGATGTTCACTGTCTACAATCCTCAGTAATAACAAAGAGTGAATTACTAGAGATTATTAAAAATGCCACCCAAAAAATCAAACTGATTCCGCCATAGAAATATTATATAGAAATAACTTAGAGAGAGACGCGCGTTGTCAACACAGTGGGACAGAGATAGGGCTCTCTGGGTGGCAAAACATTGACGCGAAACTGCAGAGCACTGTTTCTGGAGGTTTCTTTCGTGCTGTCTCATGGTGTTTGAAGGTATATTTTTGCAAATTTACGTTTTTTAAGCTCAAGTTACCTTATTTAAATGTCTACAGTCTTCTTAAGTTGTATTTTATCCGGCTATTTGTTAAACATCGTGAAATCGTGTTGTGCGTATAATTGCATAGAACGTGCAAAGACAGCAATCCTGTTTTATTTCATAGGTAATAATCACATACACAGACGAAGGATTTCGTAAATAATTAAAAAAATTTGTTAGATTCCCTAAACATTCCGAGTTACGAAAAAAACGGTTTATTGCTACAAAAAGAGGGAATTTCATATTTATTGATTATTGTTTTAGTTATTTGTACGTGGATTTAGAAAATAAATTTTAGTAGAAAATTCCACACAATTTAATATGTTTAATTTAATTAGGCACCCTGTTACTTTTATCGAAAGTTTAGTTATTTTTATCCTAAAAATTTCAGAATTACCAATGAACGTACACTACAAGATTAGTTAACTTTAGAAGATTACTGTACTAACTGAATTCGTAATATATTGTAGATTCTCTATACATTTCATTTTATTAAAAGACTATCTCCACCACTTAACATGATTTTTGTTGTTTCACATTACACATAATTTTAATGTAAACTGTAAAAATATAGTTTTCATTAACAGACGTTTGTTATAATTGATTGTTTGAACAAATTTGTAAGAAAACGTATTAATTCCCGTTCAAATGAAGCGTTTCTTGCCACCCAGCACGTGATACGTGGTCAGCCGTCCCACTGATGCATAACCGCTCTAGCTATTTCTTTCTTATGTTGATTACACTCGCTCGCGTATGGAAACGTATACAAGGCTCCATCCATTCCTTTATTAGATTAATGGATTCTGCGCATTCCAATGGTTCCTACTGATTTGCCCCTTACATTCAAACGACTACAGTTTTCTGTGCGTCTTGCTTTCGCGATGACAATCAACAAAGCCCAAGGGCAGTCTCTGCGCGTTGCCGGATTAAATTTAGGAAATCCATGTTTTTCGCATGGTCAACTTGCTCCAGAGTAGGAACTCCAAAAACTCTGTACGTCTATACACCAAATCGAAAAACCAAAAATATTGTTTACCCACTAGCGTTACGATAGATGTTAGTATTGATTAAAATGTGTTCAAGTTGTTTCAGTTATATAGCGAATACAATAGTAAAAAATTTTGTTCATTCACGTGAATTACTAATACAAAAATGTGTACATTATATATACTAATGAAAATAGATGGAATAGCATCAATATGAGTTATCTTATTATTCAGTTTTCTACAACGCATTCTGCGCTCCAGACCATACATTTATATCCACATATATACAAAGTAAATATATACACAAGCAGGACAACGTCTGCCGGGTTCCGCTAGTATTAATATAAAACCTCTAAATATTATATATTTTGCTTAAAAAATTGGAAACTAATTGATATTTTTTAAAAATTTTGTGCGTTGTATGGTTGCGTCTAGGTTGAATTTCCCGCTTGCCGGCAGCGTAAGTGCGTGCAAAACAATGATGCAAAATTGCAGAGACTTGTACGTGAGAGAAAGCAGGAGCAGAGGAGGCAGATTTAATTCAACCTTCACTCGCCTGTACAAAATCTAAGCGATTGTGACCTTGAAGTCGAGGTTTCAACTGCACCCGCATATCAGACAATAAAGTCCCTAGATAGATAAAGTACCGCAATTGGGCGCCATATTGTGTCCGCGCCAAATTCAAAATAAATAAATAAAAATTAACGGACTCAATACTTGCGTACAAAACGTAAATTTAGATTTTTTTCAAATAAACATTTATTTATGTTTAAGCGTTATTTGTTCAATGCACTTAAATGCCATTGATAAACATAAGGGGTCAGTAAAAAATATAGATGAGAAACCTTGCAATACCAGTTTATTAATACAATAATAAAATTAATTTACATCGCCATTTCGTCAACTAGTAGCACACATTGCTTTTCGTGTTGATTGAACTTCAATATCTACAACAAATAAATAATTAATTAGTTACTACCATCCCACTATGCACTAATCTATATACCAAAAACCCAAAAACTAGACTGATACCACATCTTATTTTCTAGAAGAACAAATATATCTTCCAACAGACCTGCTCCAAACTTGATTCCTTGAAGACGTTGTTGTATGGTCCTAATGCTCGGATATGGCAATTTCTGCCGTCGTATTTCTTCATAACCCTTCGCGCCACAAGCTAAATACAATTTCAGTGCTTTTGTCATTGTATCTTCTGACCATAGTTGACCTCTGGCAGTGCCAGTTTGAATAAATTGAATTTGATCCTCGTTTAATGTCCCTTGTAAATTATTGACACAACTTTCCAGTGCCGTTTTATATTTATTGCGCTCCCGTAAAGCTTTTCTCAAAGCGTTACGTAAATTTTCGATCAACGTTTGAGATTTTTCCACTATGTTGGTTTGGGCCTAATAACGGGTCCACTTCAGGGAAACAACCAACATTTACATTTTCATTGTTGCTACAGCTTTCAAGTTCAAAAATTTCATTTTCCCTACCAGTTGTCAAAGGAGTACAGTCGTCCATTGAAACACAAGCACCAACATTTTTATTTAATACATCTGGAACAGCATTCGGCCGCAATAGTTTCCTTCCATCTGCTCGCTTTGCTTCGAATTGTTGTTCAGAAAAATGTAACTAAAAGTAAATATATTTAACATTGTGCAATTACATATTCAAGCTTTAAACAAATTACTTCGCAAACTCTGGAGTTGTCGTTCAAATCGTCCCGGCCTATTAAATTCTCCCACATCTCTCTTCTAGCCCTATTACTAACACCTGCAACAATTTAAATTAGTTGAAAAAACTCAATTGAAAACTCAATTGTAACCTACCTGTTGGAAGACGAAACAATCGGCTTTTATTTCCACACAAAGGAACACAACAACTTGGCATTTTAAAATAAAAGTCATAAAACACCACAAAAAAACACAAACAACTTTACAAAAAACACAAACAACTTTACAAAACAGGACTTACGCCACGAAGTGATGCGTTAAAGAGAGTTTCACAATTAACTTTGACGTTTGTCGGTCGCCATATTGTGTCCGAAATACACGTTCTCTCTCTAACACATTGAAACATTCAATTGCGTTACTTTGGTTATCTAGGGACTTTATCAGACAACATAGAGAAGCGCCATAGTTTAAATTAAATGACGGTTGCGGACTCCTCAAATTATGTTGGCAGCAGTGTTTGTTTCTAACTAGAGATAAAAGTAACTAGAAGAAATGTCATAATATTTTTAATGACGCGTTTTATTTCCGACAAATTGACACTAAATTTACCAGAATATTAGAAGCTGCTTACTGTTTCCTTGACTTTCATTCAGGTCACACGAATGACAATTATAGTGAAACAAGGTTTTTATGGGCGTCGACTATTTAAATTTGGCGCTTGCCTTTGGCAGTTGAGGACTCCAGTGTCAATAAGGGTGGTTTTGCAAAATCAGCCTCTATGTCGCTTCTCTATGTTCTCTGCGCATACTGAAGCAATGGCAGATGAAAGCACGTGTCGGAGGCTAGCCGCAGAGCAAATCAAATTGCAGGGTCACAACACGTGACCCAACGCAAGATGCAAACACTGCAAACAGTCGATTCGAATGCACTTGCGACCGTTTTGTTTTGATGCAATTATTGTTGGGGAGTGAGTGGTAAGCGGCAGTGGCGGCTCCTCGGGGTGGGCAGGGTGGGCAATGCCCACCCTATTTGATTGTTTATGATACGAAGTAAAATATTGTTTTTTTTCTTTTGTAAAATATTTTATATGTATACACAAATAATTATCGTCGTAAACATCATTTAAGCCAACGGATTTTCTTCATTACATCCTGCTGTTTCCGCAACTGAGAAATTGCAGTTGTAAAAAAGTGCGTCAGATCTCGGCGTTATACGGTTCATGTGAGGATGGGCTAGTCCACCCTGGTCCACCCTCTTGATTATAAGCAACGACATACGTTCGGTTTTCTATGTACGTAATTGAGAGTAAAGAATTCGAAACGCGCGTCTTTGCATATCCGTGTTTTCTTGCCTCAAGCGGGGCAGGACGCCCCGCCCTGCCTTCAACGTATATCTCAAACGCTGCAGGATCGGATCTCTCGATATTCGATTCAAGGATTCAATAAATTAATTTCGATTTTTTTACTTCTTCTGTATTGTAAAAGTATAGAGGTAATTATTTTTATTACTCTATTGAAATATGGGTAAGGTAGTAAGGAAAATAATGTTATGCGAAAATTCTTGAATACTATTGTTATAGAAAAGAGCAACACCATAACAATTAATAAATACTTTTTCATATCAAATGAAAATTTGTAATAACCATATTCTTGTATTATGACAGCGTGTAAACTTTATAATGAATTATAAATTTAAAAATCCGAATAACCAATGATGAGAATAAGTAATACATTTATTATTGCAGTACGTATCTGACATGTGTATTTTTTTATTATTACATATTCATTTTTGTTTCATAAATATAACTGTAGCAGAGTCAACAAAAGTTAAATATACGCTTAATTTATTATTTAATTCAGACTGTCCGCACAGGTTTGTTACGCGTTCGCTCTAGTGGGCAAATCCACCCTGAAAATCGGAAACACTCGGCACGGTTCGTCCTCGTCGGAGACACGACTTAATTGAATTCAGTCAGATCAGAAACTGCAGTGTGGGTAGTGCATTTAATTATACAATGTAGCTTATCCAAATTACCAAATAGTTAGGCGGGTACCAAAGTAGGTACTTTCTAGCAATTTTTTTTTAATGGCAAATCCTACTGTAAGCTGTGCAAATAATATTAGAGAGGTGGTAAAGAAGGCATTAAAGACATTGAGTTTTTGTTTTTAACAAATAAATTCAGTAGTATGGAACTTGATATTTATGAATTATTTGTTTATAAATTAAGATCATGTCCCGAAATGAAACAATTAATTGGTCATCACAAACTCTCGTGGCAGTAATAAAGACTTTAATCAAAGTTCGGACAATAAATATTAGGTACCTATTGGTTGGTTGATCGGTAGTGAAACAACAAACAAAACTGTTGGAATTATCTGCTATTTAACATAAAATTAAATTACGAACACTTTAGAATTCCACAAGAAGAGCGATATAAAATATATCGCTGCTACTTTACAAAAACATGACCAATCTGAATAAACGAAAATTACTTGGAAAACGAAGTGAAACTATAGAAAATTCTCTTAAATTCGGCGTTTATTCGATATGATAATTTTCTTGGCTACACAAAAACATACATTTCGGGGACAAGATGAACCGCAAATTTCTCTTAAAGTAAATTCGATGATAAATTTAAAAAGTTTTTTGGAGGAGTCTTTGGTAATTAGTGGTCTTCAGAATGATTATTTTGGAATTATTTTTATTTTATTTGTTATTGTTAACTTTGTTAGTATTTTGAGAATTTATGTTTTGTTTGATTTGGCATTTTTAATTTTGCTTTTACAATAATTTTCCAAATGGCCGCTTTTTCTAAAGTGTAGCTTATCTCAAAGGTTTAAAATTTAATGTTTTCTCGTCATGTTATTTCAAAATCTTTACATGTTGGGATCATTATTTGAGTTTATAGTTCTATAAACTCTTAACAAATCTTCTATTTATGTGCTGAACCTTTTTTTTGCTCCTCTTTCCTCTTCTAGCAAGAGTCTTCGACGTTCTCGTTGGTTCTTGCTGGCCGACATTGTAAGTAACATTTATAAAATAATATATATGTGATATAGATAAAATATTTGTTATATTATATTGATTGACATGTAGCACCAAAACAAAAACACGTTCTCATAAAAATGATTAATTATATATATGTATTTTTTTTTTTCATACATGTTATAACCTACCTATAATGCTTTGCCCACCCATCAAAAATCACCACGAGCCGCCACTGGTAAGCGGTAATGTAAGCCGGTGTTATTGATAAGCATTTTGAGGTAATACTTAATTTTCAAAAGGGAAGTCACTAATTATTATTATTGTAATCATAATTTCAATCATGCAGCCAACACACAGAAATTTGTTAGATGAAACTAATATCGTCGATTATTTGTTGAAAATGCCATTTAATTCACTAACATACGATGAAAAGATTTTATTAAAAAATCTTAATAAACCTCGGCCAAAATTAAATTCCTTAGTTTCTTCAACAAGTAAACAAAACCGTTCTTTTAACGAATCATGGTACGAAAAATGTTGTTGGTTAACCGGTAGTAGTAAAAGAAATAAATTATTTTGTTGGCCGTGTTTATTGTTCGCATCCTCAAATGTCTGGTCGAAATTAGGGTTTGACGGTTTAAAAAATTTACCTCGAGCCATAGAAAGGCACGGCAAATCAAAGGAACATATCAGTCAAGTTATAGAGAGATTTGGAGGATTTTATGATGTTAGCAGTGGACGTACAGCTGACGATTTATTTAAATTATTATGTGACAAATTTGATCACTTGAATATGAAAGATAAATTAGTAGCACAAACCTATGATGGCGCTGCTGTTATGGCAGGTCATTTAAATAGCTTACAGATTAAAGTAAAATCAGTTGCCCCTCAGGCTCTTTTCACGCACTGTCATGCCCACATTTTAAATTTAATTCTCAGCAAATCATGTAACTCCCTGAAGGAATCAAGAATATTTTTTTCCAACTTAAGTGGATTTTCTGCCTTTTTTTCCAAATCTAGTAAAAGATCAGATATTTTAAATCAAGTAGGCGCGTCCAGACTACCATCACATTGCCCTACTCGTTGGAATTTTACTTCAAGGGCAATTTTTACAATTTATGACAATAAAGGTACTTTAATTCAAGTCTTTACTTACATACTGAACAGCGAAGAATTTAAAAATGATCAACAGACATTAAGAGAATCTACCGGTTTAAGAAACACCTTAGAGGATCAGGATTTTAATTTCTTCTTAATGACTTACAGATTAATTTTTCAACAAACTGATGTAGTCTTCTCGATTTTGCAGAGCAAACTAACTGATATAACTATGGTGACCATATGTACTTATTTTAATAGGACAGTACTTTTTTTGGAAACGATGTCCTTTTGTCTTCACAGAAGAGCAAAGTACATTAAAATGTACTTTTTTTTACTAACTTATGATCATATGATTTCGAAGTCATATCTAATATTTATTAATATTACATATGTCCATTCCACTCTATCAAATAATCAAATGCAGCATCTCTCCATCGAGTACTCAGCGTTCTTGTGCATACGGTCGTCGGGCGTCATGCGCATGTCATATTTCATCAGTCGTCACATCACATTGTGCGTGATTATTCAAGTTGTATAAATTATTTGGAAAATTGGAAAACAAATCTATCCGAGTTGAAGTTGTTCGAATGGATCGCCCTGCGAAAAGAAGTAAAATGGAACGAAATTCTTCTTTCATACGAAGCTTGTAAGAAGGAAATTGGCGATAAAGTGAATGCTGATGCTTGTTTTGATGAGTTTAGCTTATTGAAGAATTTTGCTACGGATGAAAAAATTACTTCTTGGAATTGCCAAAAAACTCCTACTGAAACTCGTTGGCTGGAATTTTTCAAGTACATAGAAGCAATTCCTTATCAAGTCACACCAATAAACTTGAAAATGTTATGCGAATTTGCCCTCTGCCTTCCGGGTACAAATCCAGCTGATTGATTTCAGTGTTTCAAATAATAATGAAATTTGTTGACAGGGACAAGCGCAAGCATTGAGAGACTATTTTCTAACATCAACAAATACTGGACTAGTGAGAAGAACGCTCTAGGCCTGTCCACCTTGGAAGCTGTTATACAGGTGTACATGAACTTCGAAGAAACGTGTAATGACATGTTTCATTACTTGAAATCTAATCCACAGTTATCAAAACAAATATTAAGTTCAGAAAAGTATGACTGGAACAAGCCATCTA